GCGAGGTGGAGCCCGCGACCTCGGTGTCGGGCGAGGCGGAGCCAACCCTCAGGGGTCGGGTGAGGCAGAGCCCGCGGCCTCAGTGTCGGGCGAGGCGGAGCCCGTGGCCTCGGTGTCGGGTAAGGCGGAGACACCCTCAAGGATCGGGCGAGGCGGAGCCCACGGCCTCGGTGTCGGGTGAGGCGGAGCCAACCCTCAGGGGTCGGGCGAGACAGAGCCCGCGACATTGGTGTCGGGCGAGGCAAAGCCAATCCTCAGGAGTCGGGCGAGGCGGAGCCCGTGGCCTCGGTGTTGGGCGAGGCGAAGCCAACCCTCAGGGGTCGGGCGAGACGGAGTGTGCGCACCTGAGGGTCGGTTGGAGCTGTAGTCGCGCTCTTGACTGCTCGGACGAATCAATGTTGATGGTTATTAGCTCCTCTTCAGGTACCCTAGTATTGTTCCCCGACAGGTATCCCTAATATCGATACCTGACACTAAGTCATTATTTTGAGTCATTTGAATAAAAATCGCTCTCTATATCTTTTCACTCTCTAATAGCTTCTTTATATCTTGTGCGTACTATAAAGAGCCAACCGTACTCTTCATCTTTGACTAGAGAGAAATCTAGAATAGAGAACATCAATATTAGAGAACCAATTAAAAAAGGTTGTTGGATGGTATTTTTCATCAAAGTCTTTATTCCTATCAATAAGAAATGATATAAAGAGACTTTTGAAGTTGCTCTAATAATCCTTATTTCTAAAGAGGAAAAAGTCATCAATAGCTTATATGGATAGGATGAAATCATCTCCCTCTTATTAGTGTAAATAGGTCACTAAAGATATGTTGAGGTATCCTGATTGTTATAATTTTGAAAGAAAAACAACATCCGCTAACAAAGAGATGATGAGGCCATCTTTGTAATACCCCCATACATGGCTACAGTTGCTAATGCACCGTCCATAGCTCCACACAACACTATGGGCTTAGGGGCGGACCCAGAAATCTGCTAAGCCCCAGGCAGAACCATATAATAAAGGGCTAGATCATCTTTTTTTTCTTTAATTTTATAATTGATGGAGCAAGTGTATATGGAATTTTCTAGCCAAGGACAAGGGTTGCAGCACGCGCAGCCCTGCCCCCTGGGTCCGCCACTGTGTGGGCTCATCCAGTTATGCTAACTCTTAATATATTGGAGCTTAACAAAAGCAAAATTGGTTACATTTCACTATAGATATCTAAGATCAGATAGTATTTATTATTTCTAAAGGAGAAAACAAATTCAACAACAAAATGGTATATATTACTCTAAAGAGCATGTTATATAGAGCGAGGAAATGACTAGTGCCTTTGGCCCCGTTCGCGTGCCCTTAAACCCGGCTTGATCCGCTTATTTTTTCATCCGGAACAGTGTTTTTCTCTCACAAATTCCTCCAGCATTCCTCCAAACCATCCAGATTCCTCCAAAATTCAGACAAGCGAACAGGCCCAAAATCAGATTGTCTTTAGAGTATTTTGGATAGGTTTTCTAGAATTATCCTCGGAACTGTGACAAGTACCAAAATAAATGTCCATCTGGTAGGGCTCTAAATTCTCTCAAAGAATGTTTCAAATCTATGTTATATCTGGAAATGTTTCCTGGTGAACTGGAATCATTTTAAGGAAGTTTAGCTAGCTACCTGAATTCAGATTAAAAGAAGTAGAATTAGGAAAGATATCTAAAATCTTGTTATCTCTTCCCTTGTTATCTGGTTCTAATAGAAACATTTCCAACTACAATGCTAATTCTCTCGTCCAAATATGTCCTATGAAGATGTACTAAAATGTTAGTAGCTCTCGCTAAAAAGTGACTTCACGCATACCATCTACTGTAAGATGTACTCTCTCCGTCCTATAATATAGTGCATTCTAGCATTTAAAATTTGACCTTAAATATAAGACATTCTAGAGGACAAAAACCAGTTTTGCATTATATATTTTCTATTTACCAATCAATCACCATTAATCACGTTGATGATAACGTCTGATTAGGAAATAAAATAAGTGTACATGTGTCTTTTTTTTTAAACAATGTACATACGTCTTTTGTAATTTGTCTTAAAATTCGTAGAATGCACTATGTTATAGGACAGAGGGAGTAGCAAGCAAACCTCTGTTTTTTTATCTCACGTGGTTGTTGAATTATATTAGTACTCACGTATGAGCTCATAAAGTCAAAATATCTCTTCCTATAGCTTTCAAAAAAAATCTCTACCTATCAATTCCAAAATGGAAACTTCTTTGCTAAGATTTCCGACAAGCACTCCTCTGTTTTTTACATGTCATATTAGCTTTGTCCTAAGTCAAATATTTATATCTTTGATCATCAATTTCAAAAAAAAAATATAGTTCTATGACATAAGATTTATGTTTTTAGGTTCACTATGAGAAATATTTTTATAATATATAATTTATATGTTAGGAAAGTATAAGGATTTTTGAAATAGATGGTCATAGATATTTGTGTTTGACTTAGCACAAAACTAATGTGACACGTAATAAATAGAGGGACTTCTTTTGTTAAAAAAAACTATACATCTCGCTTTTCAAGAAACCAATCAATTTCATATTTAACTAAGCTTATAAAAAATAAATATTAACATTGTTGTCTTCAAATAGCTGTACTATATATGAAAATTATATTGCATGATTATTCTAATTATATTTATTCAATATCATAAATGTTCGTGTTTTTTATAGATTTGATTAAACATAAAATTGGTTGACTTTTAACAAAAATAAGACGTGTATTCTTTTTTTGGATTGAGGGAGAGTACGCTACTACGTTATTGGTACTTTGGCCGCATCGCGCGCCCCCTGCAACGAGCACGCGGCGGTGCAGATGTATTCCCACAAGTCACAGCTGAATAACTGATGCATCCTGCGCAAATGGTGGAAGAACTGCTCGACGCCTCGACAGGAAGCCACAAACCTGAAAGCACAGCAGACGCCATGTCGATAGGATTTTGGATTTTCCACATTTTTGGGTGACTTTTGCTTCTACGCCATGTCGACATGCTGAACACAGAGCGAGGTTGCAGATGCCGAGGACCAGAAGGCTTGCCCATTTAATGGCCCGGCCCGGCAGAGTCCGGGGCACTGAGCCGCTAATCACTTCGCAGTAGTTCTTGCTCTAGCCGCTCTGCCATGGAGATCAACCCCGCGGACGAGATCGACAAGTGCGAGGCCGGCGGCGGCGCGGAGCCGCAGCCTGCAGATCCGGAGCCCGAGGCTGCGTCGTCCGCCGCCGCGGCGCTGGAGCAGCAGCAGCAGCCGCCGTGGCGCGAGCAGCTGACGGCGCGGGGCTTGGTGGCCGCGGCGCTCATCGGGTCCATGTACACCGTCGTCGTGATGAAGCTGAACCTCACGACGGGGTTCGTGCCCACGATGAACGTGTCCGCCGCGCTGCTCGCGTTCCTGGCGCTCCGCGGCTGGACGGGCGCGCTGGCCCGCCTCGGCGTCGCCGGCGCCAGGCCCTTCACGCGCCAGGAGAACACCGTCGTCCAGACCTGCGCCGTCGCGTGCTACTCGCTGGCGCTCTGCGGTACGTGCCAGACACCTGTCAGCTCAGCTCGCTCGCTTGTGTCGCGTGGTCAGCTGGCACGCGCTTGGATGCGCGTCGCGTCGTTGCGCTCGCTTGTCCGTGACGCGCGCGCGCGCGTCATCGCACTTGGTCACGTGTCGTGACTCGTGAAATTGCAGTATGCGGCGGCGCTGGCGCCTGTGCAGGGTTCGGGTCGTTCATGCTGGGCCTGAACAAGAGGACGTACGAGGCGGCCGGGGTGGACACGCCGGGAAATGTGCCGGGGAGCGTCAAGGAGCCAGGATTCGGGTGGATAACCGGCTTCCTCGTCGCCAGTAGCTTTGGCGGCCTCCTCACCTTGATTCCCCTCAGAAAGGTGCTTCATTTCATTTCATTTCATTTCACATGCAGAAATCATCTTCTTTTGCGAAAATCCACTTCAAAAAATGCGCTGCAATTTATTTATTCAGGCTTTTGTCATCGACTACAAGCTGACATACCCAAGCGGGACGGCAACAGCTGTTCTTATAAACGGGTTCCACACCCCTCAAGGAGACAAGAATGCAGAGTGCGTATGGAGATTGTCTCTCTTGTTAATGCTTGTACAACAGCTAAATGAAGCCGATTAGTTAGTACTTAGTATGCATCTGTAGCATAACCGATCCGAGATTCTGAATGATTTTGCTCATACTCAACTGCAGGAAGCAAGTACGTGCATTTCTGAAATACTTCGGGATCAGCTTCTTCTGGAGCTTCTTCCAGTGGTTCTACACCGGTGGCAACGCCTGCGGATTCGCTCAGTTCCCTACGTTTGGCCTCAAGGCCTGGAAACAAACGTAATATATATACTGTCTTCATGAATCCTTCCTTGTGCTACACATCGTACTATTTCATACATACATAAATGGCGGCCACCTCTCTGAAGTCTGAACCCTGTTGTTTGTCGCCTACGCTTGCAATCAGGTTCTTCTTCGATTTCAGCATGACGTACGTCGGCGCCGGGATGATCTGCCCGCACCATGTCAACCTCTCCACCCTCCTCGGCGCGGTCCTCTCCTGGGGAATTCTGTGGCCACTCATCAGCAAACGCAAGGGCGATTGTTACTCTGCAGACGTACCGGAGAGCAGCATGACCAGCTTGTATGGTTACAAGGTCTGATGACTCACTTCCTCACCTGAATGAATGAATTCTTCAAACCAGTGAGTAGAGTAGAGAATATGCAGTGTTGATATATAGCGTTTTGGTTGCTCTGCCGTGCAGGCCTTCGTGTGCATAGCTCTGATCATGGGTGATGGCATCTACCACTTCGTCAAGGTCCTCGGCGTCACCGCCAAGAGCTTGCATGAGCGATCAAAACTCAGACGTGGCAACAACCGAGGTAGCAGTATAGCACTAGCAGAGGTGAAGAGTGTGCAATCCTACTCTACCTTTCGTATTTACTTGTATCTGATCATGCAGTGGCCGACGAGGGCAACACGGCAGCGATCGACGACCTGCGGCGCGACGAGGTCTTCAACCGAGACTCCATCCCGGCGTGGCTCGCGTACGCCGGGTACGCCGTCATCAGCGCCGTCGCGGTGCTCGCCATCCCGATGATGTTCCGGCAGGTGCGGTGGTACTACGTGGTGGCCGCGTACGCGCTGGCGCCCGTGCTGGGCTTCTCCAACTCCTACGGCGCCGGGCTCACGGACATCAACATGGGCTACAGCTACGGTCAGCTCGCGCTCTTCGTCCTCGCGGCGTGGGCCGGGCGCGACGACCGCATCGTGGCCGGCCTCGTCGGCTGCGGGCTGGTCAAGCAGCTGGTGCTCATCTCCGCCGACCTCATGCACGACTTCAAGACGGCGCACCTGACCCTCACGTCGCCGCGGTCCATGCTCGCCACGCAGGCCGTCGGCGCCGCCATCGGCTGCGTCGTCACGCCGCTCACGTTCCTCCTCTTCTACAGGGCGTTCGACGTCGGCAACCCCAACGGGTACTGGAAGGCGCCGTTCGCGCTCATCTACCGCAACAAGGCGCTCCTGGGAGCGCAGGGCTTCTCGGCGCTGCCCACGAACTGCCTGCCGCTGTCCGCGGGGTTCTTCGCGTTCGCCGTGCTCGCCAACGTCATCAAGGACGTCCTGCCGCCGCGGTACGCGAGGTACGTGCCCCTGCCGACGGCGATGGCAGTGCCGTTCCTCGTCGGCGCCAGCTTCGCCATCGACATGGTTGTGGGGACCTTGGTGGTCTTTGCCTGGCAACGGATTGACGGCAACGAGACCACGTTGCTGGTGCCGGCGGTGGCGTCAGGCCTAATCTGCGGTGATGGCATATGGACTTTCCCGTCGTCGTTGCTTTCTCTGGCCAAGATCAAGCCACCCATGTGCCTGAAATTCACACCTGGAAGCTAGTAGATAAATGGACCCATTGTGTCATGTGTTAATCTTCGCATACGGACATGACGCAGTCTGAACTCTGAGGAAATGATTAAGGGCTCGTACGGTTAACAAGATTCATGTGTTAGATTTGATCTCATCCGTCTTGACCCAACGGTCGAGACGGACCCCTTGACCGCGTCCTGATCGGGGACGTCCAGCCATCTAGTGGCTAGTGGGTCCCCGTCGCACAGTGCCTATAAAGAGGAGGTGAGGCAAACGGCTCTGGTAACGAGGTTCACTGCCGCCGCCACAACCCCACCGTCTAACCCTAGTCCGATCGAGAGGGAGGCACTGCCAGCGGCGGGAAGCGCCACTGCCGTTGCCACCAACGCCGGTCTCCACCGCTACACCAACCGTCGCTGCCCCGTGCGCAGAGCTTCACCGACGAACCAGTGATGGCCAGATCCGACTCCTCAATGCCTACCGATGGTCTGTGCCTGACCCTAACTCTCCCTCTCCCTCTCTGTCCCTCTCTGTACACACCATTTTTATGAAAAACCCAAATGAAACCTCACTGATCTACACCACGGATGATCCAAAGTAACTAACAATGGTTTCGGAGTGAGTTCCGTGTAGATCAAGTAGGGAAAAGCAAAGATGAAGAAGAACCGAATTCGATTCAGAAAAGTGAACCCAAACCCTAACCCTAAAGAAATTGGTCGGTCCGGGGGAAGTCTTACCAGAGCTTCCCCGCCGCCGTCACTACCGCCTCACGCGGGATGGAGCACCCACATGGCGGGGTAAAGTTGGCATAGTACTTATCCCGTATGGGGGAGAAGGATGTGATGACTCATGTACTCTAACTGTATCCCGCACATGGAGAGAAGTTTGGGGTAGCTCTTATGCTATCCTAGTACTGACCGTACACTCTGATTGTGTCATGGTCACCAAGTACTCAATGAGTTTAAGAACAAAAGAAAGTTGCATGTGAACCAAAAGATAAGAATGATATGCAAGCGTGACTTGCAGAAGTATTGATAATAATAGATTATGTTAAGTTTTGAAGTGTAATGAGGAAAATGTACTCCCATATGAATTTTGTTTGCATGATGTAATCATGTGGATGAAGTAAGTAATCAAAGTTTCCTCATTCACAAGAGTTCTGAATGTTTTGAAATTGTGGTAGAAAAGTTCATACCACATTTCGAGGGGGGGAATGTAAGATTAATTAAGAAAGATACTTCCCTCCCCATACTTCAGATAATGCAATGCATACTATGCATTGAAGGTAAAAGTGATCTATAAAAGATGAATGTGATCGTTGAGGGAGTAAGACGGTCATAATAACGATACCCCTAAAGTAAGAAATAGCTAAATTTCTGGACCTTTTACAGTTCCGATAGGAAGATACCATAGTCGACTAGTATTCATACTGGATGAGTTCAGAGTTATCAAGGCAGTGCTAAACGCGCCATATGAGTTTTTTAGCAGATTAAACCCAAAATAAGAAATTTGAAGATACACCATCTTTACAGAAGATGGAGTAATCTGGGGGAGCATGGTATGTAGATACCTAAGGCTTGAATAGAAGTGGGATTACATATCCACTACAGTGTTTTTAGAGCAACAAATTGCTTAATACATGTTGATGTTGTATGACATATACAACACCTGATGTTAGCTCTTAAAGAAGATGAATAAGTAAACAAGGACCTTGTGATACAAGAGGCTATAGAACAATTGCTTTTTGGCAATGAAGAGCAACAATAGCCCCATATGAAAGAAGTGCCACGAGGCCCCAGAAGGTCTCAAAGAATAAGAAAATCAGATATTTCTGGTGACTAAGAAGTCAATGTTAAGAAAGAAATTCAAATGGAGTGTAATTCCACCTCATTTGAAAAAGCCATGAGAGGCGTTCACTCGTCTAAATGGCAAGAAGCAAAGGAAGATAAAATGAAATCGATAAATACCAACTATGTTTGGGACTTAGAAGAAATTTCCAATGGAGCCAAAACAGTAGGTTGTAATGGGTCTACAAGACAAATGTGACTCCAAAGGGAATATGGAAAGCTATAAAGCGCCACTTGTGGTGAAATGTTTTACACAAAGAGAAGGAATAGATTATAATAAGCATAAAATGATTCTTTTAGAATCATAATGGTGTTAGTGGCACATTATGATTTACAGTTACATCAGAAGGATGTAAAGACACATTCCTCAACGGGGATTTGTATGGAAAAGTTTACATGGCATAACTCAAAAGGTTTTGTCGTGGAAGAAAAAGAACGTAAGGGATGTTGCCTGAAGAAATCCATTTATGGATTAAAGCAAGCTTCAAGACAGTGGTACTTGAAGTTTGACAGTACAATAAGAAAGTTTGGGTTTTAAAGAAAATGTAGAGGACAATTGCATTTATGTAAAGTTTAAACATGGGAAATCAATTTCCCTAATCCTGCATGTGGATAGCACCTTGCTCGCTAGTAGTGGTGTTAATCTACTGTTGGAGAAGAAGCAGTTCTTGTCCTCAAGTTTCAATGAGAATGATCTTGGTAAAGCGTCATTCGTTCCAGAAATTGGAACTTACCGAGACAAAAGGAAAAGGGGTATTAGAACTATCTCAAGTGTATACTTAGAGAAGATTCTAAAGAAATAAAGTATATATGTGAATAAACCTGCGTCTGTTCCTATAGTCAAGGGTAATAGTTTTGGGAACTTTCAGTGTTCCAAAAGCCAATGTGAGATCGAAATGATGTCCTATATGCTTCAGCTGTTGGAAACTTAATGGGTGCTTATAAGTAAGAACTTACCTTGACATAGTTCATGTATCCGAGATGTTTTGGCAGAAGTCCAGTCTAGATATAGATCACTGGAATAGAGTTGAGAATGTTTTGCAATTATGCAAAGATTTATAGGCCTCATGACGAGTAAGAAAGAATAAGTACTCTCAAATAGTTGTGGGTACAAATGTTAAATTTTGGCGAGATGTTTAGTGAAACCCACATAGTAGCTAACACTCGCGGTTGGAGTTTTATTGTGGAAAAGCTCCAAAGAAACAGTTGTGGTGTCATCAAAGATGCATACCCACAAAGATAGCTTGTTATGAGGCTTAAGGACAAAGTAAATGGTTAAAAGAACTTACACCTGTAATTGATAATGGTATACAACAAAGAATAACCATTTAAGTAGTTCGCTCCTATAACAATGGGTCAAGTGTGCTGCCAAACACATTGACGTTAAAGTTATACGTTGTGAAGGAGAAAGTCCGGAATCATACTAAAAGTATTGAACATAAAAGTAACAAGCAAGTGCTTGCGGATCCGCGTACAAAAGGCTTACCACCCAAAGGTGTATTTGGAGAACACACAATCGACATGGGTTTATGGTATGGCCTATGATTTCCTGGACAATAAAGGGCCCAAAAGTTAAAGAATGCTTGAATGTAGTAGAGATGTATTGTAGTCATTTAGTCTATCGGCGATTGACCGTGACGATGAAGCATGCTCTATGCACTAATGCGTGATGGAACAAATAAAAGTGAAAAGGATTAAAGTCAAAGTTTAAAGTTAAAGTATGAGTTGAGATCAAGGGGAGAATGTTAGAATTGATCTCATCCGTCTTGACCCAACGGTCGAGAGAGACGGACCCCTTAACCGCGATCCCGATCGAGGATGTCCAGCCATCTAGTGGCTAGTGGGCCCCGTCGCACAAAGTGCCTATAAAGAGAAGGTGGGGCAAACGGCTCTGGTAACGAGGTTCACTGCCGCCACCACAACCCCATCGGCTAACCCTAGTTCGATCGAGAGGGAGGCACTGCCAGCGGCGGGAAGCGCCACTGCCGTTGCCACCACCGCTACACCAACCGTCGTTGCCCTGTGCGCAGAGCTTCACCGACGAACCAGTGATGGCCGGATCCGACTCCTCAATGCCTACCGATGGTCTGTGCCTGACCCTAACTCTCCCTCTACCTCTCTGTCCCTCTCTGTACACACCATTTTTATGAGAAACCCAAATGAAACCTCACTGATCTACACCACGGATGATCCAAAGTAACTAACAATGGTATCGGAGCGAGTTCCGTGTAGATCAAGTAGGGAAAAGCAAAGATGAAGAAGAACCGAATTCGATTCGGAAAAGTGAGCCCAAACCCTAACCCTAAAGAAATTGGACGGTCCAGGGGAAGTCTTACCAGGGCTTCCCCGCCGCCGTCACTACCGCCTCACGCGGGATGGAGCACCCGTCGCCGGCTTGCTGACGCGCGGGAAGAGAATCAAAAGAACAGAAAAGAAAGGAATGGATTAGATCCTTTCGAATCTGAGCACACAAACTAGGGTTTTTTTCCTAACCCTAACTGGGTGAAGATTGAAGGGGCTCGGTTTCAAGACCGCTTGATCCGAACCCTAAACCCGCGACTCGAACTCGGGGAAGAAGAATAGGGCCCAAAACCCTAACCCAAGATCTCCAACCCTATTCCCAATCGGTCAAAACCGAGAAGAAAAAGCAAGATCCGAAGAAACAGAAAGGGAAAAGGGGATGAGGAAGAGTCAGTGGGCTTACCTCGCCACTGCGCAGCACTACATCCTCGCCGGCGCGCGGGGAGAAGAAGGCTGAGCCAGGGGGCGCTGCTCGCCGGGCTCTGGCCAAAGGGACGCCGCAGCCATGCCGCTCGACGGCGGCGCGCTCACCCGCTGGGGAGCTCGCTCGTCGGTGAGGGGGACGGCGACGGCACCGAGTCGTCTGCTCGCTTCGCTCATTTTGCTCGGGCTCGCCGCGCAGCTGAGAGAGAAGGGAGAAGAGAAGTGAGGGCTAGGGTTTCGAGAGCGCGGCCGGGACGTGGGTTTTTGATCAGGCGAAACGGCCGGACGGCCGTCGGATTTGATCCGATGGCGAGGAGTCACCGGGCCACTCAGCGGCCCAGGCGGGCGAGCGCGCCGCGGCGCTATGCTGGCCTAGGCCCACGTTGCGGCCTGGGTGGCTATGCGCGCGCGCGTGCCGAGTTGGGCCGGGCCGTTTTGCCGGTTGGGCCACAGCGCAGT